TAAAATTTTGTCCTTATCTAATTCATAAATAGATTTCATTTCAGCTTTACATGTTCTTCCTCTTATAATTAGATCAATACAAAAAATTATACTTACTCGCATTAGAAAATACAAGGATATTAATGTTGAAAATATACATCTTGACTTTTTTGCCCTTTTAATTTTTTATTTTGATTCTGGGATGAGTTGGGAGAAATTTGGAAAATGATGTTTAATGGATCTCTTGAAAGATGAAAACCATGATGGGGTTTTGGAATGTCTGCTAATAGGATTCATACCTTTTTTTTTTTGTTGTAAAATTTGTAGTACAGCTTGTTTAAGTGTAGGGATTAATTTTATTTAAAATTTGAAAAGTGTATACACTACTATGATTTAACTATTTCCTTTGATTGCCATGATCAGATTTTTAAACTACTATGATCTAAGTGCTCATTGTACAAAATCTGGAGGACAGACCTGTTATTTTACCATTGAAGAAATTGCAAAAGGAAGTTAGAAACTCGACACGAGTGTAGTGTCCACACATAACCTGGGTGTCGACACCATGCGTTAATAGTCCAAAATCAAACTTTCTAACTTTCTGTTTCCTGTTTTGTGTCGACACCTAATTCGGGTGTTGGCACCATACATTCAGCGTCCAACATTCAACTTTCCCATTTTATTTTAAATCTTACTTTTATTTCAATTAGGGTTTCTAAAACTTTATAAATACCTATCCAAATTCAGAATTATGAGAGCTTAGTGAAAGCTAATGCCAGCTCTCTTTTGAGTATTCTTGAAAATCAAGATAAATGATCCATCAATAATAAAAGATCAAGGAGTTTAACTTCCTCAAATTGAGTTTTGTTTTTCTTTAAATTCTTTTTATCTATTGTTTGATATTTGAATGTCCATAACTATAATTTCAAGTTTTATCATTTTTATTATGAACTAATTTATTCTACTATGACTACAATGTAGCCTAATCAATTTAATATAAATTTTGTGATTTTATACTTTCGATTAAAGTTATTTGCATGAGGAATTTATATTATCAAACTTAATGCATTGAAAACCTGATCATCTTTCAATTAATTTAGTAATTTATGCATGAATTTGAGAAAGAATTGCGTAAATTAAACCAATAATAATATAAACAGTGTGTTAGACTATGAGACCGAGAGGTAATTAACTCACTTGTGGTAACGGAGGAAGAGAAGAAAGTTAGGAGCTCCTCTTTCTTAACCTAAACATTTCCATAAAATTTAACACTCATTAATTTCTTTAAAATTATATAGAGATGAGATTAATTTAATAAACAAGTGAAGAATTAACTTGATTTAAGAAAACTAGCTTGTTAATTTAGAGAAATTTGTCATCACATGCAATAACAATTAATAAATTGGTTTTGGAAGTATATTAATTGAGAATTTATATTGATTAATTATAGTGAAGTCAATACCTTAATACCTCATACCTCATCATTATATTACTTGGAGCAACTAGTACATTTGTTAGGGTCATTTTAGTGCATCGTATATATCGTGAATATTACATTAATTAAACTACATGGTTTAAGTATAATAAAACCAATGCAATAGAAGACATGAAGCAAAGAAATTAACAACAAAAATAAACAGAATTCTCATAAATAACGTGATTGTAGGAAAATCATGAACCTTGCGTGTTTAGACTATTGTCACCTGCGTGTTGACAGTTATATTGTAGTCTCGACAATCAAAAACACTTTCAGTTTTTGAGTTTACATTTTCTTCATATGTTCTGCTTCCTTTTTAATAAGAAAATTTAAATTAAATAAATACTCCTTCAAAATCGTAACTTTGAAGCTTTTGAAGATCAAGATAGAGACAGCAAAGAAGAAATGAACTTTAGAAGAAAATAAATACTTGAGATTTTTTTCATTGAATTAGTTTTACTTGTTCTTTTGTTCTTGAATTTTACCATATCAAATATTCTTATATTCATTTTATATTCATCCTAGAATATTTGATCTTCTTTTCTTTTAATTATAAACTAACTTAACCATCTAACACTACAATATGATCTTATCAATATAATGTAGAATGTTGTGGTTTTTATACTTTCAAAGCTAATTACAATAATGTGGAATATACATTATTGTTTTCTATGATTTTAAATGATTGAACATCATTAAAACTGATTTGAAGATCATAATTGGGAGTGAGAGAAGATTTTAAGCAGTAGTCTAAACTTGCATATCCCATGAATTGAGCTAGAGATGGACTAACATAACTCATGCAGTATTGGATTTTATTTTCTATATAAACTAGAGACTTTGACATAACATATTACATTTTTTTAACTATTTAAATCCACAAAGATAGATGGTTAATAGGCGTAGATGAATTTAGTATAACTTGATCCTACGGTAACATGAGAAGTGAAGACTTCTAAGGTATATTAATCTAAATTATATATTTATTGATTATAATAAAATCGATCATCTTAGAATTCAAACTCTTAGTATCACTAAAGTCCATGTGGTTTTTTCTTTAATTGGTTTAGTTCCTTAGGTCACTCAAATCATTTCATTTTAATTGTTAAAATAAAATTAGAGTTAATTAATTTATGTACTTAGACTACAAATTTTGTGATGCAATACTTTATTTGATCAGAATGATCCATTTTTCAAGATCCATTCGAAAAAGTACGCAAGTTTCAAATTAAATATATTATCATTAATAGTTTTCTTCTCAAAATTTGAGCACTTGAGAATTTATGAAGTACGAAATAGAAGCAAAATTTGGTAATACAAATGAAGAAATTTAGTATCTAATATAGTAACCTAAAAGCATCTACAATGGGAGTTACTACCACCAACTGCACATCATCCTCCCTCATTATTTTACTCAAGAAAAATGATTTAGAAGCATCTTTTTTACAGCATTTTTATACATCCTTACAGGTCATTACATGATTAGTTCTTTTAATTCATTTACGTAAAAATTGTATAAAAAAATTATAAAAAAAAGATTACCTCTACAAATTGCACTATCATTTCACTCACATTCCTAAACTTAAAATAATATATAGAGTAAAGAGAAAAATAAAATGGTTTTACATTTGGGTTACGGTACCACAAGCGTTTACCAGGGAAAACATCTCCCACTCTGATGGGCTAAAAGGGTAACGCTTGTGTTGCCCCAGTTAGAGACGGCGTAACTTGTTACATGGTAAATTCAGGGAAAATATTTTAAAAAAAGTTTGAAAATATTTAAGATCTTCTAGTCACATTTTCATTAAAATTTAAATAAGTTGAGAATGTAATTGGAAAGTTTTTCTTCTGACCTGACTTTACTCCCCAAGTGATGATGTGCCTGTCAAGTGCCGTTGCTCATCAGCAGTGGCAGTAATAACGACCATCCTTAAATTGGCACTACTGCTCAAGAGAGACTGCACCTCTGCATCTAAGGCCGTAGCTGAAGATCATATCATCCACATCATTCAACTTTGCCCAAAATTTATCCCATTCCCTGACATAAAACAAAAGCAAACATGTATGACATTACATTTATTTCCATACTCAAATTGTTTCTAAAGAGGAAATAGTAATGGCTGATATAAGATTGGATGACATACCTCATTAAGGCTCTGGATGGATTTTGAAGGGACTTTACTAACCTCCAACCCAAGGGCCTCAATCTTGGAACGCAATTCAACTTCTTCCTGATTAGTCAGTGCTTCTACCTAGACATTAATTTTAAAGCATAAAATACACATGCTGAGAATCCAAATATGACGAAATAGATCATTTGCTAAAACTTTGTTTCTTTTTGGGCATAAGCCGCATGGAAGCCCTCATAATTATGCA